CAAACATTCTACATAGGAACATTCCCAGACAGTGGGTTTAAATATTTAATGCCCCAAAAAACGCACACATGTTTTTACATCTATAAACGCAAATGTGTTCTCCCGATATTGTCTAAAGAACTGCCAACTAATCACATCATGTTGAAAACTAGAATCTACTCATATTATATATTACAATACCATTAAATTCCTTACAAAAAAAAACTGTCACAAATGATCTGTACCTGTAAATATTCCAGTTATTTGTTAAATATTTACTGTGTGTTAAAATTATATTTAAAAACGTATAACCACTTATTTTTTCCACTGTGCGGAAAGCACTGAACCCACTCCCCCACTAATGTGTTTCCATTTATGCATACAGTTAGGTATTTCGTATTCCAGTTTATCAAAAACAAGACTCCATCTAATCTTGAGATTAATAATGCGGCTCTGCGTAAATTTCAATTTTGACCAAAGGCACATGCACATACACACACACATGTGTGTGTCCCCGCAAAAATGGGGATTTAATGGGGGGACCTCAGCTGCAATTTCGACCACGGTCAGCAAATTCCGGCAGGAAGACGGCAAGTGGGTTAAAAAGGAAGGAAAGGGAACCACAAAATTGGGCTGTGACTGGACCGGACTGACCCCTCTTATGGTTAGAATTTTATTGACTCGGATTAGTCGAGAGTTGGCATCTCGCATCCGTGAGATACACATTAGAAGGATAAAGCGACCTGCTGCACGATTGCAACGTTTTGACCAGATTTTCTGCCATATTTTCGGTAATTGAGAATTGTGAATTTCGGCCTGGCTTAAACGGGCAATAAATTTATGCAAGTCGAGATAGAGAGATACAAATGTATCTGCCGGGGATCTGTAGCAGTTGCCTTCTATCCACAGAGAGAAAGGAGTTCCACATATTTGGGAAGGTAGTTAAGCGGAATTATGTTAGATTTCTATGTAATAATATGGACACGAAATGATAAAACCTAGTTTTCAACTATAAAAAACATATAAGAATGCTTCAAATGAAGTATCAATAGATAATAGAACAAGCACATAGATACGCATATTTTGCATACATTTCTAGAAAACAAGCATTAACTAATTACATACTGCATTTTGTTTCTGTGTATCTGCAGCGAGTTTCGTTGTTAGCACGCCCCTGTCCCCGCTCCCTATTCCCGGTATTTGTTTATCATTGCTGTTTTTATTTTGCACAGGCACTCAGCCTGCGGATTTTATAATTTATGCAAGACACCAAACAAACTCAGCTTAAGTCTTACAAATTGTTTTGAGATGCTCGGCATATCACATAAAAAAAAACGCACAAGCCAGAAGGAAAAGCAGCAGAAATCTGTATCTGAGTTTTGAAGAGCACCGCAAAAAAAGAGGAATAAAACAGAAAAATAAAAAGGGGAGAGGGCGGGACGTGATTTGATGGGAATTATTCCATTGCCGGCAACAGGCAGCACACTCAAAGCCGCAAAAAAGTGGGTAAAGTGCTCCAGACCAGACCAAAAGGTAGCTATTCCAGCGGAGTCCCAAGTTTTTCGGGGGAGTCGGTGAGGCTGGTGGGGGGAGATGGGAGATGTAAGCAGGGGCAGGAGGAAGGTCCACAACAAGTTGTATCTCGGAGATGTCATGTCACGTAGCAGGCAGCGCTACATGGACCATTCATACAAATTTTGTTTTATAAGCCACTTTTATACGTTATTTGTGAGTAACTTTGTCCGATTCAGGCGCAGCTCCAGCCCGTGTGTTTATCTGTATCTGTATCTGTATCTTGGCTGGGCTTACTTTTTTGGGCCATTTCATTGCCGCAGCTGTAGATTCACTTGCGAGCAATTGCCGTGGCACAGTGGCGTGGGCTATGGAGTTGGCCAGAAGTTTGTAAAATGTATTCGTGTTCTATGTGGACTTATCGCAAAAATAATACCGAAACTGCAAAACTTACTGCTTGCTACTTAATAATTCTTACCCGCTGAAGAAGTTATAAGTTATTGAATCTATTAAGTATTGATATGAATTAGAAGCACTATCATTTCTTAAGTAGTTTGTTTTCCTCGTTTGCTACCTTGTCCAGTGCTGCCCACTGTGCCACCATTCCGTTGCGTGCTGAAAGCTGCGGCACGTCGTCAGCAGAATGTTAAAGGGTCCCCAAACTGACACCTACGGAGTAAGACAAACCGAGCAGCACCTCCTGCTGCTCCGTGTCCATGGATGTTGCTGCTGTGGATGCGATGCTGCTGCCGGGGGAAAACTGCATCCTGCCCAAAAATAACCAACGCACGGTAATGACAAACAGCGTTGTTGTCTCAACCATTTAGCATCACCGACAGCTACACTCGCAAAAACACATGAATCCAGCTGACCCCGCCAACTCGGGCTGGGCAGAGAAAAACTCGATGTCATTTTTATAGTCACAAGCTAATGAGCTGAAAGATTAATATATCATATTTAGGTATATAAGTAAATACAATTATATGTATAGAGCCAGTTCTCGACTATTATTCTCTCTGCAGCGGCAACACTACCAGGAATCGCCTTCAGTCACGACTGCACAGCAGCCAGATCTTCCTTCTTCTGCTGTTGACTCTTTTTTGGATGCTGGCTTTGTCATCGACAGACAAAACAAATGACCTTGCTGATGAGGCACCTCAACTACGCCGCCTCCATTGAGCCACTGCGCTGTTTGCAGCTACACGGTGGAAAAAAAGGTGTGGTTGTGGAATGACATATTCTGCTGCGAATAAAAGTATCTGAGAGTACAAGTATCTGAAGAATTTGTACTGATGCACACCATAAACTACGAACAATCAACGCAAATGTGAAACTCGCAGCACCCACATTTTGTTTCTCTGTTTCGATTGGCGCAACAAGTTTGGCAAACATTTTGCACTTTTGTATTTTAATTTCGGCCGCTGAGCATCGCCTTTTGTTCGCCTGGCCAGAATGCGAAATGAATGCTTTGTCACAGGCAGAGATAAAATACGTTTATAAATAAATCAGTTTGCGCCAGGATGAAGGAAGTGCTTGGTGCTGCTGATGTTTCTGTTGCCACTTTGGCGAGTTTAGCGCGCCTTTTTGGCGCCCAACTGGCGAACTGACAAAGTGACAAACTGGCAAAGTGACAAACTGACACAGTGACAAACTGACAAACTGACACAGTGACAAACTGACAGAGTGGCAAGCTGACACAGTGACAAGCTGACAGAATGACTGCTCGACTGACTGAGCGACTGTGACTGCGCTTGTCACTGTGCTGTCACTGCGACTTGGCCATAAATCTGCGCCGGATGCCGCGAAAAATGCAAAAACCATGTGGCCGAAATGGAAATAAAAAATTAAATAATTTCATAAATGCAATTTGCTTAAAAGGTGGCTGGCTTTTAATGCACTGGCGTGACCTTTGAGGTGTGCGCAAATTAATTAAACGTCGATAAGTCCGTGTCGACATATCGACAGCTGCCCCCGAGCAACACTGAGCGATAAGTTACGCTGTCCCTGAGTCTCTGAGTTCCTGGGCTTCCTGTGCTTTCTGGGCGCACTGGGCTCCCCGGCTCCCCTGCTCCCCGGCTCAATTGCACATCATTAACTTTGGCCGACTGACCAAGTGGGCACACCCCTCCCCCTGCCACACGGAGCTCCCTGTGCGCCCCCGGCATTCAGCTGGCCAGATCCCAGGCCTGTGTTCGCTAAATCGCTGCACATTAAATGCAATTAAGAAATGATTGAAATCATAAATTAGCCCTAATTGGCCACAGGACGCTCGCCTCGTTCGCTCCTCCTTCGTGCCCCATCCCCCCAGCCATTTCGATCCTGGTGTTGCATCTCCACCGCTGCCTGCTTTCAGCTCCACGATGACAGGCGAGGCGGCACGTATTGGCTGGCCAAATTGTAGGGTGCAAGAATTGTTGTATTTTTAGCTACTGCCCGGCACCGCGCTACACCATTCCCTTTTTTCCTTAACATAAATATATTTTGCTAAATTTTATATAATTTTATAAATCATTGCAGCAGCTTATTAACTTAAATACAAGAGCACATTATAGAAAGCAATCATAGGGATTTGACTGATAAGTATCCTATTCATTTTTTACAAGTTGGGGCTATTTAATGTGTTTCCAAAAATTAAAAACCATATTTTCCCCTGCCTAATAAAGACATGAATTTAATTGCCCATTAGTTGTTGAACAGCCATTCTGAACGGGCAGCACTAAAGGCACTTTGCAGCGATTGCCTGGCCATCCGTCAATTGGCCGCAAATCGATTATGTCTGCCGTATCAGTTTCGAACTGTGATTGCTTAGCTCCACGCCCTTTCCACCTCATCCGCCCCCTTAGCCCCCGGAACCCCCTTTGCGCCGCTTTAGCCACCTACCGAAACCCCCTGTTAACCCATTGTGAGCAATTTGGCGGCCGTGCGAACAGCGGCAAAAGCAAACACACAAAAGAGGCGCAACCAAATTGCCCAGTTAGCAACCTGTCCAGCCCCTGCCCCGCCCCAACCGCCCCCTTTAACCCATTGAGCGGGGCACACCGATAAGCATGTGTGTAAGTAGATGAAATTAAGATTTTTTTTATATGATTAAGCGTTGAGAATTTTTGACGGCAATGGCTCAGAGAGATGTACGTGCACTGAGCAAAATGCTACATACCATTCTATATACCAGCAATGTGCAAGATATATATTGTACATACATATATATGATTTAGGATAACAACAAAAGCGAAACAATATTTTGTACTTATAAATGGCAGACTCACATATCCAATTATTTTAGAACACAGTCCCTGTACTGATGGGCTCATTGTAAGGATAGTGTATGGTTAAGCAGGGAAACACCTTTTCTAGCCGTGTATTTGGCTCTCAGTCACCCTTGCGGATATCCCGCCGCTCAGGCTGAAAATCTTCGCTGCCTCAGTCGCCGTCGACTGCTCTGCTCGGCTCGCTGCCTTCTCGATGGCGACTATAAAAAGCCAAAGTTACACTGTTTCCGAATTAAACTGCTAAGCAAACAACGCGCGACAGCACACAGGCCACCTGCAGAGCCCAAACATCCCACACATCCCACCCATAAATCACATCACCTCCACATATCCACACACTCGCACCATCCCGAGTAAAAATGGCCACTTCCGGTTCGATCCTGCTCGCCATCTTCCTGCTGAGCGCCACCCTCATTTCCGCCCAGCAGATCAAAGAGACGGCGCCCAGTGCGCGATTACTGGATCGATTCGATAACCGATACCCGGACGGAAGCTACGAGTATCGATTTGAATTGGACGATGGAACAGCTCGCTACGAGCGCGGATATTTCGCCAAGATCAACGATGTGAAGACCCTAATGGTCGTGGGCTACTACGCCTATCGGATGACCGACGGGCGTTACATCACCGTGTTCTACAATGCCGATCAATTTGGCTATCGACAGAATCAGTGTAAGTACAACTGGGAATTGGTTATTGGTTATCGGTTATCGGCTAGCGGTTTTCGGTGTCTGGTGATCGCTAAGTGAATACTATTAGAATAGGGTCTGAAATATAAGCACAAAAGGAAACATTAACTATAGTTGCAGGTGATTTGTGTGCTGTGTCAGAATATCCAGCTCGTGGTATTTGATATCCTGCAGACGTTGATTCAATCACAAGGTCTATAATTCCCAACTGAGCGCACGAGTGATCGTTTTCATTGACCACGAGTGAAATGATTAATGTAAACGAGTCAGCCATTATCGCAACTCTTTCAGCGAAAATTAATAAGGCACGCAAACACCCATCGATTATTTGCAGCCCCAAGACCAGAGATAGCCATAACCCTCCACTCGAATCTGGTTTATATTAAATTATATTATTTTGGTCCGCCCACAGCGATCACGCCGCAGGAGTATCCCAACCTGCCGCGCTCCATCGAGGTGCCCATGGTCAGCAAGGCATCCTCGGCATCCTCGGCATCCGATGGCGTCTCCAGCTCCCAATCCCAATCCCAGTACCAGTCCAGGCTGGAGGCCCTTGGTAACCCCGCCATGACGACGACCACGCCCCGGGGGGCGGGGACAAATCGTAGGGGCCGCTACTGAGAGTCCGTAATTGCACACCATGCCCATTATTATTATTATGGCTCCTTGCATCGTTTTCTTATACATTTTTTTTTTTTTGTGGAACTTTTGTCCCCCGACTACTCGTATTATATTATTATGAATTTTAATTTTTTTTTGTAATTTTTGTTGTGTTCAATGAAGTGGGATTAAAAAATAATAAAAATTTATTAAGGCAAAGCAGCGAAAAATTATGAATTTATTATTGAAGATGTTCCCAGTTGTTTGTAGCTGTTTTGCGCCTCCAGCCCCTTTCCAGTGCTCGTTGGTAAGATTTCGCGATTTTTCGAAAGTCGCCGACAATTTGGCAATAAATTTACCACAAGCGTTTCGGGCAATAAAACATACAAGTGCAGGGTAGCCCCTCGCCACCCAATATATATATATATATGTATTTATATATATGTATTGGAGATCTGGCCATATTTTTGCATTTTTAACACATTTTTGGCGAGGTTCTCGGGCCGAGGGCAATTAAGAAACGAAAACGAAACCAGGCAAGAAAATGTCCAGTGCACAGAAAAAAACAGTGCGCTGCTTACACATATTTTGTATGGTACTTTACTTTATTGCATTTATTGCATGCAGCCATGAGGTTCTGTGCAGTAGAACACATGTATCTATTCGTACTGGCATAGATAGTTGAGATACAAATTAAAAGATATACTTCATTTGAAGTCTACGATTTTGTGCTCGATGCAGGAACGATTTGAAACGAAATGGAATGGAATCTCCGATTCCCAGCTCTCGAGTGTGCGAAGGTTCATCATAAATTTATTAAGTGCCGACAGGATACCTGGGAAACGAGTTCAACGCTCGGCTGACTTGCGGAATGAATTCAGCTGGCACACTCTTCTTTTTTCTGGCTTTTGTTGTTTTTTGTTGCTGTGGGCCGACTATTAAGCCATAAAACATAAAAGGCCATAAAAAATCATCTTGAGATCGGATTGCAATGGACCGACCAGCTTAATTGTTGGGCCTAAAAAAAATAAAGCATGATTTGTGTGCTCGTAAAATTGAAATTGATTTCAAATCAGATTAACCCAAGTGTTGCATAAGAATAATGATCAAGTAACTGGCGAAAAATATCGCGCATGTTTGCAAAAGAGAAATCGAAAATTAAGGACTTAAATCGCAGAATATTTTGCTAATCAAGACAAACAAAAATAAATTGGATTAAAAAGGAAATTGCAGAAACGCAAGCTTTTGGCTGCAATGAAAGCAATACTTGGCTCGCCGCATTGCTAAGCCGAAGAAAAGGCGATGGAAAGTGGCAGCCAAAGTGGGTGGCACGGGGATGGAAAATGGGTGGAAAAGGGGCTGGCCATGTGGGCGGTTGGGGCAGGTGGCCGTGGCTCGTGGCCTTCGACACTTGACTCGATGGCTTGCCACTGTTCTCATTGAGGAGCGCGGCTCCACAGACCGCAAGATAAATCCAAAGGAAAAGCGACGAAACTTGAGTAAAAATAAAAGGAGAAAAAACGGGCTGGTTAGGCAAATAGCTGGATGCTCTTGACCAGCCAGCTATTTACCTACATTTTATAAAAATTACCTCTGCCAGCGTTATGCGTAATTGAATGCAACGGATTTTGCAGACACCGGCATTTCGTTATAATTAATTTTTTCTTTATTTTATGCAAGCACACTAAAACTATTTACACTCCATTTTGATTGGATGCCATGGTGGCTTGCATTTTGATAAAAACAATGTAAGTTCACAAAAGGCAGGTGGTATATATTATTTAAAAAGAAATGTACACCTTACTGAATGTATCCCATTTAAATTGAGGTTACATATTGAGCAAATCTCATTTGAAAACATCAGTAATTAGGGAAAGGGAGAGCTCAGCTTTAGTTAAGTGCGGACTGCACCGTTCGTGTATTATATTACAAAAACCAACAAAAAAAACACAATAAAACCAACTTTGGCGAAGTACTTAAAGTGCCTTTTGCAGTTGAACACGAACAGGCAATCCCCTTCGAAATCCCCTCCAGAACTAAGGCTTTCCCGCTTTTCTCGCTTTTCCACTTTCCGACTTCCTGCAGGACGAACACATGTAGCTGGGAGTCGTTAAAATTATCAATGAAACTTTACAAATCTTCTTCGGGAAAAGAGCCGGCAAAATGGATTGAGGCGAGGGGCAATGGAATGGAAAATAAGAAAGGAATAAAGCCAAATACAAGGGAAAAAGTTAAGTTGCAACTTTGTTAACTTTGACGCTTATTAAAGAGATGAACAATCCAGCAACTAAGTAACAGGAAAAGAAAAAACTGGAAAAGAGGGACAGCTTCGACTCGATTACATGGAAACCCTGAAAAATTGCCCCATGCCCATCAGTTCAATGTCAATGCCAAGATCCTAGTTTTTCCATTAAATTCACATCAGCCGAATCGTGAACGCCTGCCCAATATATAAAAAATATAAATATTTTTCCTGGCTCGACTGAGGTATAATCAAAAGGCAATAAATATTGCAAATGTGACAAAGCAGACAATGTTTAACTAGGACATGGACCCCTTCCTTCCAACGCCCAGTTGGCCAGGAAGCGGCTACAAAATGTTTGCATGCTGCGGTAACAGCAACAAACAGCGAAAAGGCGAAAAAAGGCGAAAAAGCGAAAACAGCGATGGGAAAAAGTAAGTAAGCCAGAGCCAAAGGATGAAGAATAAACAGAGGTGGAAAGGACACAAAAAATGAGCAAGGTCCAAAATTAACTTAGCCTGGCCATAGAGGAGAACACCCTACCTAAGTTACCCTAACTTAGCAGTGGAAAATCGCACTTAGCTTTGTTAATACTACATTGCAATATACATGGATATTAATACTCTATACTGATTTACTCCATACTGATTTGATATTCTCAAGTACTACTTACTTACCAGTACTGTTTTGAATATTATAGTTTTACAAGTAATTTCGAAAGTGCTTGAAGTTAGCCTGGAATGTAGCTGCCCCTTTGCAGGGTATGCGATAAAGGGGATAAGCATTGTGGCACACCCGTTGCAGGGGGTGGGCGGGGGTGCCGAAAAAGGATGGCGGAAAAAAATTAATATAAAATGCAAAAATGGCTTTTAAGCAGCGAAAGTCGCGCTTAGCGGGGGAGGCGAGTGCCGGGGTGCCACCTCCCAAAGGACGCAGGAGGCAGGTGCGCGGGTGGGCAGGATGTGGATGTGGCAAAAGGACATTGCTGTTGTTTACCGGTGGGTGCCGTGCCGGCTGATGTGTGCAGTTCATCAGCGACCGCAGCAAAAGGCTGCGAGGTCCTGCAAACACACAGAAAGAATAAAAGGACAGCGGACAGAGGACAAAGGACACCACATCCTGGCAGTTAACCATCACAAAAACGAGCATGGAAAACGAGGAAATTAAATTATCATAGGGCTGGCTAAGCGGAGTCAAATGAACCAAAAAAAAGGGTTCATTAAAAGCGAAAATATGGCAAAACGCTGAGAATTGAAGGTGCACACTCAAAAACACAACGAATGCCATGCGAGTGGGACCAGTTTGTGGTGCCACCTATACTGCAGCCCTGAGTCAATTATGAAGTGCGGGCTAATTGCATTCCTTGGTTGGAAGGAATGCCTTTTTTGCTGCCCTAATGGAACTGCCAGTTGCCAGGCACAAGTTGTCCCCAAGATCCTGTCTAACTAACTCCTTGCGCCACACACTCCTTTGTTTATGCAAGTGGAAATTCATTATTTTAGCATGCAAGCCGCAAATTATGCTATGAACTCTCGTGAAACCTTCCCTTTGAATTTGCACAAATTTCGCGCATTTGGTTTTTTTCTGCGAACTTTGCAAGTGGAATTACTTTATTGGGCGCGGATTAAATTCATCTGGCATTGCGGCCGAATTTCTGGCGGAGAATTAACATTCCAAATTGAATTGGGGCTCAGCAATTTATGTGGAAATATATATATGAGGAATTTTTGGGCTAACTGGTTGCTGGGATATCACTGTTCAAACTCACGTAATTGTATTTTGTGTAAATAAAAACACCATAGACCCCCTAATAAATACCATTTAAATGAGAAGCATTTTTGCAATATTTTTTACTTAAACCGGGACTGCTAATTAAATAATTAATGCTTGTTCATCGATCGCCTGAAAGCTGAAAAAAAACCAGAATAAACTACATTGGCAAAAAGTGCCCTTATAAATATTTAAAAATTACCACAAATTGCCGCTCGTCAACTTAATCAAGAGAGATACTCGATTCGAGTCAGTTGTTTTGGGCATACATTAAATGAAGTTCCAGTTCCACCAATTATTTTCGCTTTAGTCAATAAAAAAATGTGCTTACCAGAAAATCGGGTGACAGGAGCAGCAAAAAAGGACAAAGAGAATTGCGAGCCGCACAACAACTGTGGATTTCATTTAAATTTTTAACGAAAATCCACTAAGAGCATTGCGAATGACCAGAACTTCGACCAGGTTAGTCGTAGCATAATAATGCATAAAAAACATTTAACATACGAGTATACTCGTATGTATAAATGCACGCTCTTTTGTTGGCCGCAAAAAGGCGTAATTTCTGCCTTTTTTTGTGGCTTATATTGTTTCTGCTCCCCGTTTGGTTTTAAATGAACACGAAGCTATTCGTTGTATCAATGAATTTATTCGCTGGCCAAGGGAAGGCATCTGAAATCCTCTGGAGCTGAGTTCCGATCCAAGCTCCACGTTCCACGGCCATCCGCACACATTGATAAACGCATTACAAGATATTTTGTACATTTCATGGATTGCTCGAGCTGAAGAAGGGAGGACATATGTGCATGTGCATATGATATACGAGTATATAGTGTATGGCATAAAGTCAGCCCGTGTTAAAATCTGCTTTTATGATTAATTGCCGTGGCGCTGCAAAAAAGAAGAAAACCACGACAACGAAGGCGACTTGCTGCATTTCAATTTGCATTTTCATTTCGTTTCGTTTCGCAGCAATTTTCATTGCTCTACCACTTTTCCGGGCATTTTCCATTTCGCACATTCACACTTTTTTTTGTTTTTATACCCGTTACCGTTGAGTAAAAGGGTAATCTAGATTCGTTGAAAAGTATGTAACAGGCAGAACCGTTTCCGACCATATAAAGTATATATATTCTTGATCAGGATCAATAGCCATGTCCGTCCGTCTGTCCGTATGAACGCCTCGATCTCAGGAACTACAAAAGCTAGAATGCGGAAATTTATTTCCAAATATTGCCACGCCCACTGCAACGCCGACAAACAGAACAAAACTATCACGGCCACACTTTTGAAAAATGTTGTGAAGTGGCATATCTCTAAATGTTTCTGGCGCAATTCTGCATTTAAATTTAGAAATTCTTTTTTAATTTTTTTTTAATTTTTTTGATGTTATGATGTCGGGGAATTCGACTATAACTATCTTGTCTATATATCTTGTTTTTTTTCGGTGGGCAAGAAGTAATTCGGCATTCGGCTGATTTAAGCATGATCCTTCTGTAATCGCTCGTAAATTAATACATACATTAATTTCTCGCACAGTTGACAGGCAACCAGCAAAATTGAGCAATCAATTTTCAAATGATAATTTAATTGGTTTTCCAGCAAATTTAGATATTAGGCTCGAATGCATTCAAGTAATGTATTGCAGTGCATTACACTTACGCAGCTAATATTGGTTTTTAATATCAAGAGGATGTTTGATAATAGCATTTTGCATTATTGTTATTTCAGTTTTTAATGCATTTTTTCCGGTGCCCCACCACTCGGGTTTCCCCATTAAATCCCACTTGGCTCCACAATTCGTCCGCCTTCAAATTTGTTGTTCGTTTGGTTCTCATGGAAATTGGCGCGTTTATCTTGCATTATTTTGCGCACATTCGCTTCGCATAACTTTGGGCCTCCGTTGCAGTCTGTGTTTCTCCGGCTCAACTTAAAGTCACTCCGCCTGAAATGCACTGAAAGAAATGGGGTGGTACAGCACAAAAATTTTGGAGCCACATCTAGTTCAATTAAATTAAATGCAATGCCATACATAGGACTACAATTTATGTACAAAATGTATATGTTTTTGATCTAAATACGCCCTAATATTTTTGTGTAACATCTAGCTGTTACATACTTTTTCACACGTCTAGCATACCCTTCGACGGCAAGAGCACGGATATGAATACCTATAATGGTGTCCATTAGTTGGTTATTAAAGCGCCCATTTAAGCTCATTTCTTTCAGTGCTCCCGAGACTTTCGCCAGTGCTTCCGTTTCCTTTTGGGCCCAGCGGAATGGGGCTGCAAATGGGAGCGCAAGGACGAGAGAGAGCACAAGGACGAACTGCAACTGGCATTTTTGGCGTTCCCGGCACGCGCCCACTAATTTTATTCCTTAATAAAAACTACGGGCGCACAATGCGCTGGAGGGAGAAGACGAATGCCGTTCGTGCACGTAGCAATCGCCCCCTCTCTTTCCATCCCCCTGCGGCCATCTCTTTCTCCTGCCCCCGGGTGTAGCTATCCCGCTCATTGGCCCCATTGCAGTGGGGTGGGCGCTACCTTTGGCGAGCTTCGCTATCAAACTAGCAAAGTTCATTAAAGTGATAATTACAAAGGCCGTAAAAGGAACGACGTACGGCCAAGACGACTGAAAAATAAACCCAAAACACAAGCAAAGCAAGGCGTGGAAAGGGGGTTGAGGGGGCGGAAAAGGGGGTGGCAAATGTAATCCTTGCAAGCCAAGTTCCGAATTGAGCCCTTTATTTTGAGGTAAATATCTGGGGATATATATTTGTAAATTATACTGTAAATTATTTTTTGAGCTCTTTAAAAAGCTCTCAAAATCGAGAATTCATGTTCGATTTAATTGGCAGACTCTGCCGCTTCCAGGGGGATAATCCATATTTGTTCTGTGAAAATCATGGAAATCGGAGCAAACCGATAAAGTAAGGTCGGACATGAATTTAAATAATCATAAGCCGAGACCCGAAACGAAGAAAAAAGAAAAGCTTTGCACAGCTGCCAACAGGCTGACGCCCAAGGACCAAGAAAACTTTGCGGCATAAACAACAAACAGGGAAAATGCGAGGGGTGGTGGACGGGCGGAAAATCGAGGGCAAGAAAAGCCATAAACTACAATTGAAAGAAACAACAAAGACATTGCCAGCAGCCACAGCAGAAGGCAAAAAGTAAATAAATAAATAAATAAATACACATGTACATATGTATGCAAAAATGCCAAAAGGATTGGCCAAAAGTGAAATACTTTGATATGCATCTAAATGGCATCATCAGCATCATCCTTGCCCCTGCCCTTAACCCTCGACTGCCCACGGGTTTTTTAAGTGCGAAAGTGCACTCAGAGAATATGGGTATGTCTTTTAGTTGTCAACTGGAATCGTTATTCGGGGAATATTATTAGGAATACACACAATTTATCCCATCAATATAATATAGAGCTAAATCTATAAAGCTAGTATATTTAATTCATTTATATTTATTTTTCCGTATTAAAGCATACACAACATGTAACAAGACATCAATGGCAATGGCAGGAATATTATTTGATATGCCCAGAAGTATTTTTCGCAGTGCAGCAGCTGAAGATGGCAATCAGAAGCACTGCGATTGAGAAAGCAACAGCAAATAGAATAGAAATCAGGCAACACAACATCAACATTCGGTGCTTGCAAAATCGGGTGAAATAAAAATAGTGCAAAAACAAAATACGAGCAGAAGCAAAAGACAAAAAACAAAAAAGGCGACTAGCAAACAAAATAAAAATACTGCAAATCATTTTGTTGGCTTTACATTTTATTTCGCCATTTGTTTGCCTCCAACAAAGTGAACGTTGGGTCGAAAAATGACAATAAATAAATATTAATTTCTAACTTCTAAAGAAAACATATTTATAATTTTATTGTGTAAATTGAAAGTTAAACCTTAGCAATTGTGCCAAGATACACAAATAGCTTTGTATATATTTCGATTTAATCCGTGTACTAGTAAAAATACCACAAGTTTTCTTTACAATTTATTGGAAACTCTTCCGCTAAAATAAGTTATAAAAAAATAAAAAAAAATTATATATTTGTTTATTTACTGCGGCAAGAACCACTGTGCCGCCAGTTGGAAATCCAGCCCATCCTCATTCACATATTGGTCGCTTTTGTGGCTTTGTAATGCAAATGTTTGGGCAACCCTGGCTGGTGATAGTGGAGCTCGACTGTTGGGGGAGGGGGTGGTGGGAAAATGGAAAATGGAAAATGGAAAATGGAATATACAATCACTATTGATGGCAACCCTGGACACACTCACTTCTGTAGACATTGTAGCCCCGCTCGTCGGCAATGTAGTACTGCGTCTGGATTTGGTTCTTGGGTCCTGGAATGGGCACTGAATTGTAGCCCTCCTGCACGTTGATCACCCGGTCACCCACTTTCTTGGTGTACAGCTTCTTGTAGTTCACCAGGCCGTTGCTCATCACCAATCTGGAACTCGGTTAGGTTTCAGTATTTTAAGGAATTTTTAAAGTGAGTGTCTACAATAACTAGTCACAATTAAATTCGTTGGCGAACAAAACGTTGAAAAAACACTTGCTGTTATTTTAGCTTATATTTATATTAGCTTTGGTTAATTAGTGGCAATCAACTCACTTGTACTCCTCGGTGCCGTTCGGGTGTATAACGTGATAGTTTTGCACAACATGGGCGTAAATGGGCGTGGGAGTGGGCGTGCCCGTGGGATGGCTGGTGGTTACCGGTGGACCCGTGGGTGGTGGCACCTCGTCGAAGAAATAATCAAGATTCTCCTCTTCAAAGTCCATTTGCGGAAATACAACCAATTGATCCTCGTACAATGGCCACATTTGCTCAATAGGTGTCCCAATTTGGGTGGGCTTGGGAGGAGTGCTTGGAGTGGTGGTACTGGTGGCTCTAGTGGTCCTAGCTGTTGTTGTTGTGGTGCTGGTGGTGGCCAGCGGCGGACTGAAGTCATCACCATCCTCGATGTCACTGGGCCAAACAACCAATTGTAATTCATAGATGGGCTGGCTGTCCGGGGACTTCAAGTGGCGCCGCCAGTCTGGACTTGCAGAAGGCATCTCCTCCACCGGCTTATTACCACTGCCGGGCCACGCCCCCCTCCCCGGCAACGCCCCCTCATTGTGGCAGCCTAACGAGTCCATTGTCGCCGCATCGAAAGTCAATTTGCAGTCGATGCGTTGGCCATCCACTTGAGCAGCAGTGGCCTCCGTCTCCGATTCCACTTGCTGCTCCTCCGCATGCGGGTCATAGTTGCTGGTGGCGACGGTGGCAATGGTGGTGCTGGTGGTGTCCGGATCCGCATCCGAATCCGAAACCAAATCCGAAACCGAATCGAAGTGCGGAGCTGTAACTAGCCCGGCCTGCAGCAAAGGGATTAGTGTGGCCGCCAGCAGCAGCAGCTGCAGGAGGACCAACTCCGGCCGGATTCTGTTTGATGACATGTCTGCGGGCGCTTTTCCTTGCCTTTTGCACGCTGCCAAAAGGACCGGACTTGTATTTATACGAATCAAAGGCAGTCAGTCGCTGCAGGCTGCAGCTGAATTCAAGTTGACTGAATCATCATCGCCATCATCATCATCATCATTATCGTCGGCCGCACTCTAGACATCGGGAATATATATACGTTATACATTACAATACCGTTATGCGCCAGAACGGCAAATATGTAAGCTGGCTTTGAACCGGCCACTTTGGAGAAGGGCCAACAACAAGCAGCCAAAGCGGTCTTAACCCGTGGATTACACAATGTTGAAATAAATATTTTGCCACCTCAAATAATGCAAATAGATTAAATAGCTTCGTGGCATATTGCTCATACGCAGTGTATGCCGATTCTTTCGTTTTACCGCGGAATGACCTTTAATTTAAGCAAAGCAGATACTGTTACTCAGAATATGAATTAATAATTTTTAAGCAAGAGCTATTACCAGCCAGAATTATTTAGAGTTATGCCACAACGGACATTACGCATACGCAACGTTGCGCACTATTTGTTAGACTTTACCAATCATACTATTATCACCCCCTCAGCAGCCGGGGGTTAAAATGCATGGCTATGTGATGATCATGTGAAGCCGAAAGATGATGAAAGTCGGTAAATAAGCATGTGTACATATGTACTCGTGCATTTGAATGAATGGCGGGGCAGAGGAGCTTAGGTGCAGGATTGTTAAAGTCTTTATAATGGGCTCGTAAATGTGCTAATGGGTATTTGGTCGGAGTTGGTTTGTTCGAGGGGTGATCGAAGTTCATTGGCTTAGTTACCGTAGCTGTTTTTACTTAGAACCTGTTTCTTGCATTCAATTACATTTGCTAATTACTTTATTTGCTAATTTAGCATGGTTTTCTAGGTTTTTTCTTTATTTTTTCCTGAACTTTCTTTGTCTTCTTTCGCCACTTTTTACCTTTGGGCCATAAATGATGCTTAACGTTTAGCGTATTATTTTTAGGGCTTGCTTCTCGCCAAACCGGTTAAAACTTTGAATCATTTTGGCTGCTTATTTCGATCGCAATTCTGGTTCTTTTCTTTCTACATCGATGTTGTGCACTTTTTCAAGGGCAGACAGCCTTATAATTTAATTCAATTTCTATTTAATTGAACCAAAGGCGTCTTTAATGTGCAATTTGTCAAAAACTTTTTGATTTATGACTCCGAAACAGCAAGCGGCTGTCAAGCAACTTGTTCATTTCACTCCACTTCTTTCTCAGTTTCCTTTCCTTGCCTTCAAGAAAATTTAAAATCTTGCCCGAAATTTCCATGCAAACGAAACATTTTCCACCAGCCACCCCACACTTTGCGTTTCCTCTGCTTTTTCCTTCTGTTTTGTTGGCACAAATTTAATTTGATTTGATTTTGGCCGCTGGACATGGCGAGCCCCAGGCAATTTGTCAAAAAGCTGTAGCTACTTTATATTTTTATATACAGACCTATTTAATGACATTTCCCGTTTTTTCAAATTTTTGGAAAAAATCCAAATATAATATCTTTCAGTCATCACGCTATACAAGTATAATATTGATGGGCATGCAAGTGGTGTGCCATTTATTGAGTACCAATACCTGGAGGCAAAGATTTCCAGCTTAGGCGTGTGCAATGTATGAGGAATTAATTTGGCTAAAATAGGCAAACAATTGGAGAGATGGTCCGAGTAAAAGTAAGCAAATTGTTTGGATTTGCTTGGTAAATTCGTAAGACAAGTTTGGAAAATTAATGAACACCTGCAGATCCAAATAGCATTGAATATAACTCAATAGCCTGTGTATGCTTGTGTACTCGTATGTCTATATTAATATTGAATTTAAATCCCATAAGCTTTCAAATGAAGATGCTGTAATTTCGCTGGAAATTATAAATTCGTATATGGCAGTTATTTAATGCTGACCCATATTTTGGGCGAGCAAAGCCAGATTGTTTCCTTATTAAAAACGATTTTGATTCCTGGCAAATCTGGTTCCATTAACTGCACCCCAAAATATCATTTAATATCGGGATATGACCACGAAAATCATATATAAGAAGTGGCGAACCTGGCCACCACATCAAAGCGACTCCAAGCCAAGTCTGATAAAGGACAATCCTTATTTCAATTTAAATTTAAATTCAAAGGAAAATTGTATTCAAAATATTAAAATATCATGGCTTACGTACTGAGCTTAACCATCTTTATGGCTGCAGTTACTATGGGACTGGCTTTGAGCACAACAACTACAGCAAGCACAAGGAAACCCGTGCCCACCTCCACTGAAAAATCCATGGAAAAGGACGAGGCCATGAAGTCCTTGGAACGCCGCGACAAACGCCAGTTGGTAAGTGATTGACTATTGCATTTGGATTAGTTCAAAGCTTCTAGATTCGTCGTGAGTTTGTTAACCATTTCTGGGCAGACTTGATAGCCTTTGCATCATACTATAATACTATACCATAATACTATTTCCAAACACTTCCTGTCCAGACGGCCAATGGTGGCCAGAGCAGCCTGGCCGGTTCCACTGGCAACTATCCCGTTTTCTTCGATGGCCTAAATGTGAATCCCCCGCTGCAGCCACTGCCGCCCCTCCAGCAGCTGCAGCCCCTGCAACCGATCACTGTGGTGACTCCTGTGGCCTCCAGTTCGAACGCCCAGAGCCAGCAGCCGCAGTCCGGTTGGCTGCCCCAATTCGGCCAGAATCTGCCGCTCATCGGAACCTGGGTCGGTGGCCTGCCCAATTGGATCAGCGGCCTGGGACTCGGCTCGCTAAACGGCGGCTTCGGCTCTCTGGGTGGCCTGAATCTGGGCAATCTGGGCAACCTGGGTGCAGTGGCGCCGGTGGCCTCGGTACCGGGACAACTGGTCGGCGGATCCCTATCGCCCAATCCCCAGACCACTTGCCCGCTCACCCAGAAGCTCAACTGCCGCTGCGAGCCGCTCATCCAGCTGCCGGGTCTGAAGCCCAGTTCCAATCCTCTAAGGACGCAACTGGTGCAGATTATGCGACAGAGTGCCCGCAAGAATGACGACGGTTCGCAGGAGGTGCGCGTGATCCTGAGCAGCGGTCATGTGATCTACCAGCGGACGGCCAAGGATCGCGGCCAGAGTGGCTACCTAGCCATGAGGATCCAGTCGGGCAGGTACTTCAACATCTACTACAGTGTCAACGAGAAGGAGTACACGGTGCGGGCGGATGTCAAGGACACGCCACCCACCTCCGATTTCGATGACGAGCTGAATGGTCAGCTCTAGGAATTGGGCAATCCCTGCCCTTACTTATTTTTTTTTTCATATACTTAACTAGCCATACCTCTTATAAAACGAATTTAAACACATGTATATTCAAATTCGGCGACTATTTAAACGAACATTTCCTAGCAAAAGTGTAACAAGTTCTAAATGCCGAACTTACAATGCAAATTTGTAGCAAGTCTCATCAAAAAGCACTCAAATACGGCCACATATGTTAAGGCACCCAATTTGAACCCCCGCCCTCGAAATACTCCGTAAACTCTATTAATCCCTTTTTTATTCGCAACTTTTGTTGAACTCTACAACTACAAACTAGCTGCGAAAGAAATAAACAACAATGAAACACATTTCTGACGATTGCTCCTTGGGGACAAAAAGTTTAGCTACAAAGACAAATATTCATGGGGGTGCGGCAATAAACTTGCTTTTATTGCCGAAAATGTTGTTAAAGGGTTAACAAGAGCGGCTCCTTAGCCCAACCAATTCCAAAGGAGCAACTCCGCTAATTAGCGAAGCCACACGGAAAAGAAATAAATAAGTATTTATGATTATTTTCAGTATTCAATTAATATTATTCAGGATAAAATGAATGAACTCTGCAAGGGAAATACGAGCACGCAAATGCAATATACGATATTTTAATGTACTTTTTAACTATTAAGTGACCGGGCATAAACTTGTATACTCGTATGTTGCAGACACCAGTTGAGTGTTGTGGTCATGGAAAAGCGCAGGGAAAGAGGCCAGCAAGCAGACAAAGAGCCAATGGGCAAATGGAAATCAAGCTGTAAAATGCCATACTTTCCGCACTCCACTTTTCCACCACTTTGTCTTTCAAGTTGTGCGCAGAAGTTTCGCAATGAGCCGGGAAATGGAAGCTGCCAGGATATGCCCAGAAAAACGAAGTCGAGTGCATGTAATTAAAAGTTCCCTTTTGTGCCGCGATTGGTGGCTCCACGAAAAGGCAGTGATTAGTCCATGGAACAGCAGCGGTGCTCAAATATAGTGAAAGGGTATTTCCAAAGGCAGGAAGTTTAATATTAATCGAAGTTTAAGCTGGTAAATTGAAATGCACATCTAAAAATGCCATGATAACTGAGTTACTATATTCGCACATCAAACTAGATTGATTTGAAAAAATGCTAAAGCTCAATTTGATTTTGGCACCTGATTTTAGGATGCTCAAAGCGCTTCCAGTAAATAATTTACACAGTTGTTGGATAGGGGGGCGTAGCAGGGGCGTGGCTGGTAATGAAACCGCATTGCTCGGCGCACACGAAACTTTTCACAAATCATAAATGGTCTCGGGACACACACACACACATTTGAAAAATGCCCCATTTTAGATGCCCCATTTCAGACCCCCATTTCAGCCCCCTTTGAGCGCCACTCCCCTTTCAACCAACCGCCTCATTGGTTATGCCAGTTGCAAAAGTGCTGGCAACAATTGAAATTGCCGGACTCGTTGATGAGACTTTAAGCTGCGGCTGCAGCTGAAACCCCGCCCCTAATTACGTATTACCAGATGACTGCCATTAAGTGCCCTAAACCAACCAGCCCCCCACCCTGCCTACAGCCCCGCTTTTAAAGCTCAAGCATCTTGAAGTGCTGGCAAACGCACCATTAAATCAACTAAATGCTCCACATTTGCGTTGGCTTTGGTTTGTTGGTGTTACCAGTGCCAGGTGGGCGGGGTGCAGCAGGTTATATAAGCGATGTCAGGGCTTCAGCGCCCATTAGCTGATGTGGCGGCGCAGCGGCGGAGGAGGAGCCCCAAACCCGTGTCCAAACCCAAAGCCAGACCCAAAGCCAGACCGCAGACGAACGTGAGTGACCGGCGACGACTAGACAGTGCGAGTCCATCCATCCATGCATGTGTACATATGTGTGCGTCTGGATCTGACCCATCTGACCCATCTGACCCACGGCGATGGCCCCTGAAACCAGGATGCACCTGGCCCGAGAGCACACCCTCGAAAAACTGCTGCATTGTGTGGCCAGAAAGCGGGACCGCGACTGCAACTGGCCTGCAATAGCGAGGCACTGGAAAAAACTGGGAGATCAAGTTCTAATAAATCCACACAGCCGTGAAATTGAAATCTTAGATGCAAGATAAATTATCTTAAGCAATTAAAGTTTATGAAATGCTCGTATTAAAATGAGAACCGAGTGCCCTTTAAGCTGAGCTTAGTGTATTTTTCAAAGTGTGACAAGGACAAGCAAAGCGACCAGAAAAGGATAACCAGTGAGAAGGACCCGTGGAGAACGGATGCGAATCGAGAGCGGAAAGCGTGACAGATAGATGGGATGGGGCAGCAGGGGGTTAATGACGGAGGGCATTTGGTTCGAGGTACTGTGGAAATGATTAAAATGTATTAGGCGAAATTAAGTTGGCCAAACAGAGAAATAGGGGTAAAAATAAAGAGGCCAAAATGAGGTTAAAACGTTGCATAAAGGCGAAGCGAAACAAATTCATTAGGCTCCATTGCATAAAAGCATTATACCTTCATAAGGATGCACAACGAAGCCGAACAGCGTTGATTTAAATGATTAAAATCTGCAACATTTTTGCGTTTGTTAATCTTGTTTAAGTATCGCCAGACTTATCTCTGGTTAATTGGTTTACCTGAGTGAAGGGCGCGCAAAACTGCAGGAAAATGCAGGAAAATCGTGGGTAAACCTGAAAGCTTAATAATGCCCCAACCACCCCATTGGGAATCCAGGAGCCACTGTAAACAGGTGCAAACGTTGCGCAGCAATTCCAACAAACCCTCTTAACTTTTGCGCCCAGTTTTCCACTTTTCCCTTGTTCAAATAGTTGTAAATGGGCGAAAATGCAAGCAAAAAACAGTGATCCACTTGAAAGGGAAAACAAGAAAAATCATTGAAAGGCAACAATGCTGGGAAAACAAAAGGAAAACAAACTCCAAAAGCAGCGACCACTAAATAAGTGGAGTGCGTGGACGAATGGAAATTCGGAAAAGCGGAAGAGCGGAAAAGCGGGCGCAAGGAGCTCCAATGTGGCAAATAAATAAAAAATCAAGCGATTCCCCCATTCAACTTGGCGGATGGAGATACATGTAGGGAATTTGAACGTGGCACTGCAAATAAACGGGATAACTGGTTAACGACGAGTTTTAACTTACAAGCTATTGTTATCAGTTTGCTAAAAAGAGGAACAAACCTTTTGTGGTTAATTACAACTCCATTAAATGTGTATACGTCATATGTAATGAAAATATGTGATGAAAAAATAAAGTATGAAAGTACATAATTACATTTTGGACGACTCGAGCGAATTTTAAATTTACAAATTATTATGGGATATAAAGATAAGATACATGTTGATAAAGAAGTATGAAGAAAAACCCATATATACATATCCGAACATACATGTATGTACATATTTACTGTCATTATATGGGCTAACATAATAAGCCCCTTAACTCTCCTGTTGGCCAATCGATGACAAATTCAACAAGAGCTTGACAAGATCTGAGTCATTAAGAATCGAGATTGTTATCTGGGCATGTAGGTATGTTCCCGATAAGCGATAAGCGAAACACAAAAAGACCATCAAATCGACCACGTTCTCAGTTGAAAGTCACAGCTGCTGGAGAACGGACAAGAAAATGGCAGGTAATTAGGTCGTAAGGCCAGGATGCCATAACGAAAACTCAATGAAACATTTAATCAGGGGGATAATGGAAGGCTGACTTACCTTAAAAGTACACTATGAGATGTAAATCAATCTGAATTGATTGGAAACTTCATAAGTGGCACTTAAATTCTCGAAACTAAACGTAAAAGGTGCACGAGTAATTGAATATTTAATTTGCTATTAACTCGTTTTTTCATTCGCTTCAAAATAAACTAGTTTGATGGGTGGCCCACAAATTGCAGGAGTTATACCATTCGGAGTGCTGTTAAATAATAGCTATATTTTTCTATTATCCCCCAGACCACACGTGGATGCACTTCAGCAACGGCAGCGTGCCGCCAAATGCCGTGGTCGCTGGTCACGATTCGGATGGGCACACCATCTACGTGGGCCGCGCCTTCTTCTCCAACGACTTGCTGCCGGCGAAGGTGATTCCCAACAAGGGCAAGGCCTACGTGGCGTATGCGTGCGAGGAGCACGAGCTGGAGAACTACGAGGTGCTCTCCGGCTACAACTACGAGTGGCTGTCGGCGGAGAATGGGGAGGTGCCGCCGGGCGCCGTCAAGGTGGGCCGGAATGTGGATGGCGAGTATCTGTATGCGGGCAGGGGCTATCATGCCGGAAGCCTCACCGTGGGCAAAGTGCATCCCTCCCACGGCTGCCTGTACATCCCCTACGATTCCGACGAGGTGAAGATCTTTGCCTACGAGGTGCTGTGCCAGCCGGAGCGCTGGATCGACACCACCGCCACAAATATCCCGAATGGCGCTCTGGTTGCTGGGCACGATTCCAACGGGGACACCATCTACGTAGGCAGGGTGTTCCGCAATGGAGATCTGCTGCCCGCCAAAGTGGTGCCGGCCAAGGGCAAAGCCTATGCCGCCTATGCCCAGGCGGAGCACGAGCTCACAGATGTCCAGGTGCTGACGGGATCCGGATTCCGCTGGGCTCCGGACTCGCACGGAAATGTGCCACCCGGAGCACTGTCCTCCGGTCCGAATGTCGACGGGGAGTCCCTGTACGTCGGCAGGGCCAACTACTGCGGCAGCTTGAGTGTGGGCAAGATCCATCCCTCGCACGGCTGCATCTACATCCCATATGGCGGCGAGGAGGTGCGCCTGGAGAACTACGAAGTGCTGGTGAGGCTCTAGACGGTCGGACAGCTTTGTCTTCATTTAATTCTTTTTTTTTTAATAAATATTTTTTTACACAAGCATACGAGTATATAACTCAAATGTTAAATTGAACAGCTTTGTTCTTTAAGCAACGTGACTGATAAAATTTATGGCTATGCACCCAGTAGTTCGAAAAGAAAAGTTCCCAATCATAGAGTTTTGCTGAAAATAGCTCCCAGTCGTTGTCATGGAAATTTCGAGCTAGGTGGGGAATGTCTTTTATATGTGGGTTATCATATCGGCTATCAATTAACAACAATCAGTTGATTAGTCGGCCATAAATTTGCGTCAACTTATAGCATAATTCACCATTTGCCTTCGCCCACTGACTTTACAAACGCTACATCGTAAAACTCAGCCAGATATCGCAGTTATCAGAAAGTCTATATGCAGTCGATTTAATATAACTCGACCTTTCGCCTGCCGAGGTAAAAAGTTATAGTTACCTGTACTCTTTGTAACTTTTCTTGTATATTAAAAAGTTGATTAAAACTTTTCATAAAGTTAAAATCGATATATTTGTGGCGTGCGTAGTTTTTTATTTCATTGCTTATTAATATACGCACGTTGTAATCCCGTTTTGAGCACCTATTTTACAGAGCAAAGTTTCCTATTATTTTATTTATAAAGTTGCCACTTTATTTTGCACTTTATTTTATAAATAAATCACCATTGGTTAGCACAACCAGTGTCGCCACCTATCAAATGAATATTTGAACAAATGAGCGCCATCTATGGGCAGCTTTCCCAAAGCTCTTTCGCCATCGGCCGCCAGGTGGCTGTGAAAGTTGCGATGGGTTCTTGGCAAAGCTCCTAATGCTTGGCTGTCAGTGTGACTGCTTGAGCGATGCGGCAAAACACCACGCGACATCATAGCGCCACCCAGATATTTTAGGCAATTCCAGCCACACTCAGTCGACGTGCAGACCGCCGCCCCGCTCGGTCACACTCTGCCACCAAACAGCACCAAAGTCGGTTGTCGTCGCGAAAAGTGCAAAAAGTGCGAAAAGTGCGAGTGCATATTTGCTGCGAACAGAACCGAGAACACAGTGACGTGACGAAAGTGGTCGAGTGACGAAGTGTGCGAGCGGGCTGCATTTGTTTACGATTGCCGATGCCACTGGCCAATCGGTAAGCGGTACGTTGTCGGGAAGGGGAAGGGAAACGGGGAGAGCGAGCTGCGCGGCAAGAAACGAAAGCAGAAGAAGCAGTTCACACGCAACGTGCAACATTGTGTGCGTGTGTGTGTTTGTTTGTTTGTTTGTTTGTTTGTTTGAGTGACGAAAATACAACAAGTGCAAGCAACTATAGTGAGCGGCAGCAACAACAACAGCATAGCAACTCCTTGCCGGAACGAGACAGCAACAACAACAGGACTGCGATAGCGGAGAGAGAGAGAGGAAGAGAGAGCTGTTATCGTTGTTGTTGCTTAACAATGATTAATGGGGAATCTGCCGCTACAACAACAAATCAAGTAAGTATGCCGCTTAACTAATTACATTTTGCAGCATTATTTTTCTACTTCCTTACTTTGTGTTTTCGTCACTAAATTCATTTACTATTTTACCTCTTAATAATATAAACTCCACATTCTATATACACATTTAGCTTAATCAATTAATTTATTGATTTGTAAGCCGCTGTTGCAAGCTAAAACCTGGAATAAGCCAGTAAACATCTTCACTTCTAAGTTTTCGATGAGTTGATGAGCAGCACATGTACTTTTTTATTCACCAAGCATTTAAAATGCTGTGGTTTTTCCAATGTCTTAAAGTTTTTGTTGAATTCTCATGTTGAATTATTTCAACTACTGTTTGCACATTTAAGGGTGAGCAAAAATTAGCTACCAATAATAATATTATTATAGTTTATCCATAACATTTCTCTTACATTCACATAAATATTTATTTTATTTAGTGTCAGCCTATGCACTTATTTTATTGCATTTTTCGTCACCAGTAAAACTGTTTTCTTTGCTTTTGCCCTGGCTTTCGAAAAATATGAGTTATTTTTGCTGCGGTTTCTACTTTTTGCCCTTCCTCGTCTCCTGGTCTTTATCATCTTCTCTTTCTCCTGGTTCCTGCTGCAACTCCTTCCTCTTCCTCCTAATGAGAGTGCTTCAATTTCAATGCAGTTTCTTTTTTCTTGCAACTCGCGCTTTTTTCACATGTGTGTGCGAATCTCCAGCTGTGGCTGCTGTGTGTGTGGAGGGGGGGCTTGCGATTTGAAGTTGCAGGAAGGGGCGCTTGATCTGTTCGCCGCCCCTTGGCATGCACCCCCCACCACGCCCCTTTTGTACCTTCGGGCGGAATTTTAGTTTTATTTTGTCAAAGTTTGTTGCACTTTTCGCAGTCAGCAGCGCGAACAAGTCCTTTGCATCCTGCCTCCTTTTGTCCCCTTGTCCTTTTTTTGTCCGCCAACATTTTTCCCTCCCCTTTTTTTTGTTTAATAAATTTTTTTCTTCCAACAATTAGTTGCAGCTGGTGGAAGAGTGCAGAAATGCAAAAATGCAGAAATGCAGAAATGCAGCGCTTGAAACAGACTCAAAAACGGCGATAATAGACAAAAGGGGTACAGTGGAGCACAAATACGACAAACATAAAAAATGGTGGAAAAACTCGTTGGAAAAATGTTATTCTTTTTAACGCAGAAAACAATTTAAAGTTGATTTGCCTCACAAACAGGAAAATAAGTGCATTTTAATGCAGACTTTAAATTACTTTGGTTGGAAAGTTCTTAAGAAAATTACAAAAAACATTTAACGAGGCTACATTAAATTTCTAGCTGCTTGCTAAAACCCTTTAAAATAACATTACTAATAAAAAAAGCACTCAATTCAACTTTACACAATATACGATCCTATTACAGAAAGTATCTTCTTAGGCCAGTGAGCACTGTAACTGCATCTGTATCGCAAGTATCTCTGCGCTGGCTTATTTATGTACATATTTCACTTGGCACTTGTTATATTTATACTCTCCACACACACACACACTTACAGCTCCTCCTTCCCCTTTCCCGTGAACCCCTGGCCCCTCTTACCCACCCTACACTTCGCCTGTGTGTCGTCATCAGTATGCCAGTTGTCACTTCATCTTTTTAAATGCGCCTCATGGTTTTCAATTTCGAGAAACAAGTGGCCCAAAAGTGAGTGCTGCTGCCCAAGTGCCCATATTACATGTGCACACAGAAAAAAAACCTATGGAATTGGCCATTTATAAGACACTTGCCTGGATATAAAGCAACGTTTGTATGCGGCTTTGCAAGGAATTATTTAATTTAGCATCTAGATTTACACATTCTGAACTAAGTGAAGTCATATCTTTCTCAGCTTCTAGTTTAATTTCTGAGCTATCTTTTGGTGATGTATTTATCAAAAATAGTCAATTTTTATCTGATCCGTAGGATCTAATAGGATCTAATAAATATGGCAATAGAAAACAAGTATTCCTTGTGTAGCCCCCATACCCCCCGTGTAATTTTTGTCGCATCCCCTTTGCTGTCTTTGAATGACGCCTCTTTCGCTTTCGGCCAAACTGCAGCCAAATGAAATTAGTCGTTGGAGTTGGTTTGAAAGGAGCTGCGAACACGACAGATATACATACATACAGATGCAAACTCAATAAACCAACTAAATGCAGATTTTAAATGCATCCGTTCGGCACAGAAAGTGGCGCACAATTTGCACTCTTTTCCCCAGATTCATACCTGAATGAGAAAAAACTCCTCCTCTGCTAGGTTCATCAAATCCCCGCCCATCCGTTGAGATCCCCATCTTTGGGATAGAGCCATATATACCATCACCATCATCATTACCATAGACATCGCCATCGACATCGCCATCGCCATCGCTCGTAATTCTGTGGAGCGGCGTAAAATCATTATTCGTCACGCTCAGATTGGCGCACTTGAACGGCCAGGTAGACGTGTTTGCATACAACTCTATAACTCTGTCACACTCACCTGGTCTTCTGCATTTGGAAGTTGAAGTTCTCAAGGGGAAACCACTGGGTATGACAACTGATGGCGCGCTCTTCTCAGGTGTGAATCCATTTTGGGCAATGGAAAGGGGTGGTGTGGAAAATATGCGTTCCATTTCGTCGTTTGATAAAATTATTTCAGTTTGCAGGGAATTCAAACAATTTTATGGTATTCGTTGGGTCTGAAAAAGGTTCTGTGCTCTTCATAACATCATCTATCTGCTGTAAATGAACATATTTACAATATATTCATTAAAGTTCTTCAGCTGAAGTTGTTCAATGGTATCAGAAGTTATAAGTTCACCAAGAATGTGTATTCTTCAATTGTTCCTTTGTACATTTTTGTCAGAGATTATGAAATAAGTTAAATTCAAAATGTGGCTCATACCGATTCTCATCAAACTCGAATAAAAATACCAAATGAAATAACTGCAGCACCTAAAAATAGCATACCCGCCATTAATATTTTAGGAGTTGCCTTTACGATGAATTTACGACTCGAGTGTGTTTGCCGGAATCGAACGATGGAATCTGCACACCTGTTGATTCTGCTCGATACTGTTTTGGCCAGCATGCAAGTGGGCTAGTGAGTTTCCCTGCAAAAAAAAAGAAAAGAAACGTGACACTCGTGCCATTAATGGGCACTTTAGGCCCGAACAAAAGAAAGAAAAAGGGAACAGTACAAATTAATTATGAACAAAAACATTGTGCATTTATCATCATTCATTTATATTAACTTGGCCCATCAGCATTTTTCATCATTCCCTCAAATCGCGGCCCATTAAAGGCCGGAAAGAAATAAAACGAAATGAATATGAGAATAATGAAAATTAAGGCAAATATGCAAAGGGGGCGACACGCAACGTTGCCTCGACTGTTTGTTCTCAGCTGGCCAACAAAAATTTTGATGATGGCCTCCGAAGAGGAAGGTCGTTTTCGTTTTTCATTTCTCATTTTTTGGCGGTGAGTTTCCCACTTTTGTGAACAGGCAAAAGCAGGGACTCTGCAATTGCACAAATTGCCCAGGCAAGGGAAAAGGAAACTCCTTGCCTCCATTAAAAGTTGGGCCATTTGACATCGGGCGCGTTAGCACCGCCCACGCCCACGCCCCCTCCTCCCTCAAAAAAAACAAAGTTTTAATGGCCTTTCCACGAAATCTTCTCTGGGACACGTAAGCCCTTTCGTCAAGCTTCTCTTTCGCGCTAATATCGAAAAGAAAGCACGCCATAGGAGTGACGTCAGAAGGCACTTGAAAAAACGAATCACATTTAGCGAAAGAAATGCCGCATACATATTGCGACACTAATCTCAGTTATTCTTACGTCACCTCATATTTGTCGGCAAAAACCAGCCACTTTTTTATAATAGAACGCGCACAGCAGATTAATGATAAACACTTTTTTTATTCTGTGTAAAAAAGCCAGACGAAATAATAATGTAGCAATGGGATTAATAGTATGCCATTTCAAATCAATAAAAGTCTGGAAACAATGACACGTTTCAGGCTCCATTTAATCGCATTATTTTAAAAGCGGCTATGCTTATCAAGTTGTATTTTTATCAAAACTAACTGACTCACTCGTTATATTAAAAATAATTTCAAAATTCTTATAAATCGGTTATTTATATTCAGAAGATTACTCACCTAAATGCGTATTTCATTTCCATCAGACATAAAATTTCCTCCTAGTCAGAAAAATGGTTTCAATTGATTAATACTTCGATGAATATATTAAATGTCTGATGTTAAACTAGACAGCATCTCAATTTTCATCGGCTCGGAATGACCAACATATAATAATAATAATTGATTTCTTCCGGTGCCGAGTGAACGAGTTCAAAAGTGCCAGTGCCAGTGCCATTGCCAGTGAAACGAAATGACATAAAATAAAATCAGAGGAGCACATTTGGCATGCTTATCAGTTTTCAGCTCAGAATAATATAATAAAACGTCGCAACGCCTCTTCAGCGGAAACTTTGTTGCCAATTTGCATACAGTGCAGTTTGCAGTTTGCATTTTGCATTTTGCCGATTGTTACATTTTGATCAGTTTGTTTTCATTATTCATTATTTGTAGGTACAGTATTTATTTGGCTTGGCAGCAACATAATGCCAAAGTCATTTGATGGTTGATGTGTATATAGGCTCGCCTTTCAATCGATTCAACGATAAGCGTTTCTGCTCCCCTCGTTTTAATTTTACGTATTTTTATATTTATTTTTTGTTGTCATCAGAAAAGTTTCGGGTTCATTGACTCGCCCGCCGCATTTGGTACATGTACGAGTATACAAGCACGTATGTATGAGCATTTCTTTCGCTCGCCATCTGGGGTGTTAATTACTTTTTGTTTTAATTGTCAATTTATTGGCGCCATATCGAACGCACTGCAACGCCAATTTGCGGGCAAAGCCACTTTGAAGACTATTTTCTCAAGGACTTTGTGTTTGCTCCTCGGAAAATGACAGCCGCTTACCAAACAACTTAACAACTACAG